AGCCGAGGTGGCTTTCCTACATGCTCCCTGGTCCGACCGACCGGTGTTCATTCGTCCTACATCCGGGCTATTTCTGTTGACCGAGTCCCGTCATTGCGTCTGCACTTCCTGGTCTCTTATGCATGAAGCACTAAAAACTGGGCTACTATAAGATAAAATGTCAACATACATTTTGTAGCTCTATTTTTTACAAAAGTATACATTTCAAACATATAATTTCACGTTAAAATGTCGCCCACGCAGGTCATAAACTGACAAAAGCCACACACTGCTCGTCGATGCATATATAGCTCGATGGGGAGCGAGGCTGAATGGCAATGGCGGTGTCTACACGTAGTGGGTTCGATCCCAGAACTTTTTTTAAATTTTCTATTCAACAGACGCCGTTTTGCTTTTAACACTCAAAAATAATTATTCAAGTTTAGACATATGAGTTTTTTTTATTTTCTTTTTAACATCCGCTGTTTTTGCTTTTTAACATTCAAAAACTGGTTGTTACTACTTATTATTTTAACATTAAAAAACTAGTTGTTATTACTTATTGTTCTTTCCATTATATGGGCAAGTGTTGCCTGATATTGCATTCTTGGGGATTAACATTCTCGCTATGGGTAATATATTACATGTAGTATGGCCATTGACAAGCTGTCAATACAAAAAAAACATGCACAATCGAAATCAATTGCTCCTGACATCACATAAGAAATCTTTGTATTTCAGATTTGATAGTTAAGAATCTAATTTCCTCCCTTAAAATGATGTGAACCAGCTCCTATTCAGCATCAATTCTGGTTATCTTTTCCTAAACTATCTACATGCCAAAAGTGACAATCCCAATGTATATGTGTATGTAGTATAGCATAGCTAGGTTTCAATCAAAGGCCTTATCATCACTTTATCCAAAAAAACAAACATTTTTTTTTTGCATACGATTTTCTTGTGCAAAAATACAATGACGGCAAACGACAGCTTTTTATAAAAGCACTTGTTTTGATATATGCAAATAAGATCCTCATTTGCATTTTATCAGTAGATCATATTCTCTACCCAATGATAGCCTGAAGAAATATAATGTTATAACGTTAATACTAGGGCATTTCTGCCATTATAGTCCTGACTTGCATAACTTTCACGTAACTTCTAAGTATAAAATTCCTGGTAGTTACCACTGTGAAAATATAGTTATTATTGATTGCACAACTTAGGACTTTATTATTTTATCAATATGATTGTGCCTCCCATTCTCAGTTGCATATGTCACAAATGAACAGTCTGAGTATGGAACACAGAGGGTTTTAGAATTTCCTCATTAATCATATCCTAATTTTCATAATTTTCATCAAATTATTTCAAGCATCACATACAGACCTGCAGTTCCAACATGTTAACATCCCTGGTCCTAATTATCACCATGTCCTAATTATCGCCATATCTACGATATTGTGGATTATGCAGGAGAATGGGACCATCCTTTGTTTATCTACAAAATGTAACAAGAAGCCATAGGCGACAATTCTCCGTGAAGTATTATATATTGCAACAAAAAGAAGTAGCCATTGGCGACAATTCTCTGTGAAGTGTGATAAATCGAACAAAGAAAAATTGTTTAAACGCGCGTCGGCTCAGTCATCTTAAGACGCAACAACCAATCAGAGATGCGAAATGCCGACACGTGACGCGGGATTTGCATACAAAGGGGAAGGGCGCGCGATGCCCGAAATATTTTTGCGTCAATATTCAGTGCCGTCATTCGTAGCGATGGGAAGATGACAGACTCGAGACGGGATTCGACCGGTTTCGACTTTAATTCAGTCTTTATCAAGAATGACAGAGATCGGACCACTCCTCCTTTTATACTTTTTCCGTGCCTATCTAGTGCAGGGCGCTCTGCTCGAGTTTTAGATATTGACCAATCAGCATTAAGCATCTCATATTGCCCTGGTTTAGGCTGGATTGCACTGACCTGGAGGTCTAGTTCACTATGCACTGAGTACTATGCACTAGGTTAGGTTGCCATGACCTCAGTTGACCCTT